ATACACTTCTATAATAAATGATTTAAAAAAAACTTCAAATAGCGTAATTCTCCAATTACATTCAAGAAAAATATAATTTATAAGTCAAAATAATGATAAGAATTTAAGTAATTTATTAATTTTTTTTATCTTTTACAACAAAAACATGTTTTTATAAAAAAATAGCCGAAAAAACATTTTTAATCAAACTCAACAAATAAATGCTTTAGTGACGTTAATTTATTTTGATAAAAACACTATTCAGTTTACTTTTTTATTGATAACAATTTTTGGTATTGTTGAATTTTACAGAAATTACATATATAAAACTTTTATATTTTTTAAAAAAAACTATTTTTAATAGTAATTATTAGATCTCATATTAAATAGTATAAAATATTTTTGTGAACAACTGATGTTATAAAACAGGTTTTCAAAGTGCAAATGTGTCAATATAGGTGATAATAAAAACTATACATTCTATAAATTATTTGAAAATATAATAACATACAGCACTATATTTTATTTAGATATATTTTTACTGCTATAGATAAAAAATTTATATTTTTATACATATTTTTTATCAAAAAATTATATTAAATAACGTAGAAAACATTTGCATTTGTTCATTATAAATCTACCTAAGTTTCATAAGAGAAATTTTTCATATTAGAATTTTTTTAAAATGAAATTTTATTCTTTTATTTTAATATTTATTATACATTTTGTCTTTCAATTAGACAAAGGAGTTCATTGCAAAATTTATCGTGCTATGTATGAAAATTATATCAAAAGGGTTGTGAGTCATATTTATTCACAAATTATATCGTATCAAAAAGAAGATTCAAATAATGCTATTGGTGTAGATGAAGCTTTTCAAACAGACACTAACATGTCAAAGTTTAGACTAAAATATTTTTATACAATAGGCATACTCAATTTTAAGTACATTGAAATACTAAAAAAATTTCATGATTTAATAAATCTTATTCTCAGTAAATGTCATCAATATCATCAAAAAAGTTTAATTAAAAATTTTATTTCTTGTGTACAAAAGCTTGAAATAATTGTAAAAAGTTCCAAAACTATGATTGAAAATCTACACAATGCTATGAAGTTTTTAAGCTACATAGATATAAGATTTTTGATATATGAAGACTTCATGCCGCATCCTATATTTGATGAAATAGACTTTATATATCAGTACGTCTTAGAAAAAAGTTTGGAGACAAGCTCTTTTGATCTCAACAAATCACCTTATGAAATATCTGAAATGAAATTTGAGAATTTGACAAAATTTCAAACAGATGCATCAATATTAGTAAACAATTTTTTTCAAAATTGTAATTTCGTGGACACTTTTATAATAAATTATTTAAAAAATATTAAAAATGCGGAATTAACTTATGACTTAGAGTCTGCAAGAAGTGAAATACTTAATAAGTTTTTCAACGACATTGTAGAAGTTTGGTACAAAAACCTAGGATTTGAAGAATTTCTCAACCCTAATATACCAGAGTAAGAATTTTTTACATTTAATATTACGTTTTAAAACATATTATAGGTAATATTTTTAAAGACTTTTTAATTAAAAAGAAAATTATATCCCTATGAAGTATAGATATTAATTTTTATATGAACATAATATACTAATAAAGTATAATCATTTTTTATATAATTTGTTTATCGAATATAAATAAGTACATTTTAACAAGACTGCGCAACGTCTTTATTTTGAATTAATATTAGAGATATTTTATTCATTGAATTGTTTTTAGCTTGAAAAGCTTAAAATGTATTAATTTTACTATGTTGTGTTTATTTTGTGTCTGTTACCAATTATTCTCAGCTTATTTTTTTGCTTTTTTAAGTGAAGAAAAATAACTTTGAAATTTGAACTAGCATAAATTGTAATTTTAAATGCGATTGGGTTTTCCGTGTCAGTAACATTTATGCCTTTCATGTATTGAAGTTCGAACCCGTATGTGGTACTGAATTTGTCTGCATTTATATCTTAATTATTTTGAGTTAGAAACAAATTTTGAACTCATTTGATTTTTATATCATTTAAATTCAATAACTTCAATGAATATCACGGAACTCATTGATGTAGTCACCCATCATATGAGGAAAATTATTATTCATATTAAAATTATTATACTATGTAGTTACTTTTTGTAGCTGCCAATTTTTTTCTCAGCACTAGCTTGACCTATTTTATTCAACGATACGTCAAATAATCACATTTAGTGTCTAGTTAAAGATATTACTCTCAAAAATTCCCTTTTATCAATTAAAAATCAACATTCTCTATATATCAATTAAAAAAAAAAAAAAACGGTACCACAGTAGGGTCGCGGTGCAGTGTGAGCGTGGCATAGTTGGGACTAGTATAAATGATATCTGACAGTGATTAAAATCTCTATCATAAAAAAGGCTTCGATGCAAATCTGTAGATCGTGTTTAATTTTAAAAAATTAGTGGATTATTGGAAAACAAAATTTTAACTCAAAAAGAATTACGGAAAAATAGCAAAAAAATTATTGCCACGGCAATGATTTTTACTTAATCGGTAAACGTTCTTAGCATTCGTTTTTTGATAAAATTGGTAATTTAAGCTGATTCAAATGTTAAAATTAATTTTGTTTACTTAAAGAAAAGAAAAATTAAAATAAGTTTAACATTATATCCTATGTCAATAAGTTTATATTATAATATTCATGAAAATCAGTATTAAAATAAATTAAAATACAATACCTAGAATTTTAACACAAAAATAGCATGTTTTTAACTTCGGCAAACATTTGCACATAGAAGATAAGTAGTCGGAACATTTTTTTTTTTTTTGAAATTATAGTACATAACATTAACTTTATTTTAACATATTTTTGAGGTTGGATTATTTCTGGAACATTTTTAAAACTTAAGTTGAAAAAGTTAAATTTTGATTTTTTATACAATTTTCCTAAGGTATCAAATGTCAGTCCATATTGTGTAAAGTACAGAAGTAAACACTTATTACATTATTTACTGATAAAGTACGCGATTTCTTTTCCATGGATAATAATAACGTTTAACGTGCTTTATACAGAAATGATTATCTCTAATCTTTATTACAAAAGTTAGGAATATTATCGTATGTCAACTACGAATGTTCCATGGTTGGCCAAGTTAAAAGTGTTAACATTTATTATTTTGCGTGATTCTATCACTGTAATCATATTAATATAGGATATTCCTAATAAGTGCATTACTTATTCACTGTTATTCACGTTTCAATTTATGATAAATGAACTTATTTAATTAAAAATTCAACATATTTTAGACATTGTTTCTATAATTTTTATTAATAATCTGAATTATACTACTAATTGTTTTTTCATGTCAATTACAAATGTTAATAATTTTCACGAAAAATAAATCGCGTTCTGTTACTAGTAAATAATGAAATAAGTGTTTACTTCTGTACTTTACATAATATGGACTAACATTTGATACCATAGGCAAATTGTAAAAAAAAATTTAACAAACTTCAAAATGCTGTATAAACGTAACTACTGAATTTAAATAAGAGTTTTTGGTATCAAAATTTTTCTTTAAAACTTATCTATAAAATGAATATTTTAAAATCTTAAAAAAAATTTTAATAAAAAAATTAATTTTTAAAATATTTTTTGTAATTGCGAAAAATAACATAAAACACATTTTAAATATAGTTCTATATTGTAAAATTGAATAAAAAAAAAAAGTATAAAATGTTNGTGTATTCATTCCGATTACGAGGGATGATTCTCGTATCGCCATTTTTCGTCACTACCTCCACGTTCCGGGGCTGGGTAATTTGCACGCCAGCTGCTTTCCTTGGACTCCCTCTTTGGAATCAAACCCTGATTTCCCGTTATCCGTTAGAACCATGATATTGATAGTAAATATTATCATAACATGAAATTAAAATGTAAAAAATAAATATAGTTAAAAAATACTAAAAAAACACGCTTAATAAAGCACAAAGAACTAAAAATTATTTTAATCTTTTCAGTTTGATGTGCTTTAAAAGCGTGTTTTTTTAAACTATATTTATTATTATTTCTCCTTAAAAAATACAGTATTAAATTATTGAATATCAATTTCATTTTATATTTTATTACTATAATTGACATTTATTTAAATATTAAATAAACGAATAATATCTTCTTCTACCTCTTTTTCTTTCTACCTCTTTTTCTTTCAACATTTATTTTTACAACTGTTCTTACGGCTTCCGATTCTTCTCTCCTCATAACATGACCAAACCATCTAAGTCTATTTTCTCTCATCTTATTTACGACTGAAGCTTATATGATTGTTCCTTATTCTATCTTTTCTAGTCACACCACTCATCCAACTAAGCATTCTCATCTCTGCTACACTCATTCTCTGCTCTATTTTCTTATCAACCGCCAACACTCTGAACCATACATCATAGCTGGCCTTACTACAGTCTTATAGAACTTACCTTTCAGCCTCATTGGAATTCTTTTATCGCATAAGACGCCAAGCGCATTTCTCCACTTCAACCATCCGTTCTTCATTCTTTGTCTTACATCCTCATCAATACCACTACTCTTTTACACAACTGACCCTAAATACTTAAAACTCTCCACCTCTCCAATCACGCCTCGCCTATTATCATTGGCGTCTTCATTATAATATCAAAAAACTAATAATTAGGATATATTTAAGGAATTAGAAATAAATTTTTTTTTTTTTTTGGAATAATCTACCAATTTTTTAAAATTGAACACAATCTATAGATTTGTATTGCAAATAATAATAATAACTGAAAAAATCTTTGACGAATTTACTTATTTCTTAATAATTTAAAAAAAACATATAAATTTATCATTTATAATATAAATTCTACATTTTAATCATATTTGCCTATTTAAATTACTCGAAGTAAAATTATGTATCATCATCAAAGTATAAAATATTTATATTTTATTTATTTATTAATAATCAAAATATATTATTTAATCTAGATTCATACCTCCAATAGATCCAGATACAAATCAAAATGATGGAATAGAAGCTCTTAATATTATTCGTAAACAATCTGGTTGGGAAAAAATGAACCACATTAGTATAGTTTATTTTGGTAGAAAAATTAGTGTAGGTCGTATTATAAATGATGAAGTTAATAACATAAATTTCCGAATAAAAAAAGAACATGTATCACAATTATTAAGATGCAGATTTACAGAAATAATGAAAAACTATCGTACATTATTATCTGCTATGTTATGTATATGCAGTAAAGATGCATATCATTATTACCATAATTGTTTGATTGAATTATTTAGCTCATTCGTTAAATCAAAAAAAATGCATGAAGATTTGTATGAAGCTTTAGTTACTTTAAATAAATCATCAATATGGAGTGTTCATTTGAGCTCTAAATCTAGTTTATATAACATTTTTATTTGGGTTAAAGGATTTCTCAATTTATTGGAGAACAATGATTTTTCTCAAAAAAATTTCATTATTTCACCTGATAATAATAATACCGATTTGGTTGAACAATTTCTAATAATTTTTAAAAAACATTTTAATTCATTTAGTTCTCATTTATCAAGCGAATTGAGTCACTATGACTCCCGGTGTTCTATGTATTTAAAATTTAAAGATGTTTCGGAATATGTAGACTATTTTAGGAATCCAGAAAATATATCAATTAATTTTAATCCTGAATTTTCAAACCAAATTATGCTTAACGCATGCAATTTTTATGACAGTTTTTGTGAAAATGTCAGCAAATTTTGTTATGAAGATCTGGGTTTTAAAAAAATTTTACACTGTAAAAATAAAATATTAGACAGAAAACTTCATTAATTTATCTCTTATTTACTAAAATCTCAACTTGCATATTGATCTTTATCTTAGCGATTGTTTTACTTCCGGACATAAATATATGGTTTACAGAATATTTTATTAATATACATTTAATACTGTATCATTTTATTGAGCAATATAATCTTTAGTTATTGTGTTTGGTGTTTTGTATCTATTATCTTTTTTCTGTTTACTTCTCTTAAGGAATATACTTTTTATTCATTTTATTATGCTCTGTATGATAAGTAACGTTATAAAGCATGATCATTTTTTATATGGTCTCAATATAACTAAATATTACTATTATGCAGTTATTATATTACAAGCAATTTGGCTATCTGTAAAAAACAGAAATTAAAGGCGGTGGGTATTGGTATGAGGTATGTATATTAAAATATAAAATGGGTTAAGAAGGTTTGGTATCTCGGGATCGAACTGTATTTAGTTATCAAATAATAAAATATCCCTACCTCACTAGGATAGTAAGTATTATTATTATTATTGTTTATTACGTGCATTTTTAAGAAGTAAAGCATGCAAATAAATATTCGCACTTACCTTTATATCCTTTTGTTGTTGACTATGTTAATCTTATGGTGATTTCTTCCTTCAGTGTTAACAATCGTTTATAGTGTCTTGCTTTTATTTCGATTAATTAGCCTTTGTGTACATATTATATTTAAGAAAAGAGTCTCTACAATGGGACCTGCGTCTATTATGATTTGTTACCCTTTTCTTTTATATTTCTTTAAACTCTTTTTATATTATACTATATTTTTACTAATACTTATTATCGATGAATTCCCTATAATCGATATTGTTATTCTTAAAATTTACTCTGAATTTATCAAAATATAATTATAAGAATATGACTATCTATATTCAAAATATAATCAACAAGAGTGTGGTGGTCTAGCGTTTATAGCGTAAAGCCTTGGCTGGCGCGGACACAGTTAACCTCGTTGATATATATATATTAAATATTATTTCAATACACCTTTTACTATCCTTTACGCCAACTGCCTACACGTGACCAAGAGGTAATTGGTGTAGTCCTTTATGGCTGGTGGGTACATACGCAGAGGATATTTCCAAGATGTAGTTTCCTACTTTAGGAACTATATATTATATAATGAACTCTACCCGGATTACTAGTTCTAGAACTGGCTTGTCAACAGATATAGCGCACTTCAAAAATATTCTTTTTATAAATTTAGTACTACTCTGTACCTCAACTGCCTGCACGTCACCGGAAGGCAATTAACATAGTCCTTATGGCTGGCGAGTACACAGGCAAAGGTATTACTACTAAGACTAATTAATTCTAATCACAATTACGCTTCTTCACTCATTTCAGCACATTTAAGGCTATCCAGAAATGAAGGACACAATAATATTTAACACCTTTATATAAAATACAAACTATTTTATTTCTTGTGAGGATATTAGGTAATAATAAAAATAAATAAGACTTATTCCTGGGTAAAATATTAATAAAACATCAAAAACAATTATCTCCACTTAGGATGATATGAGAAAAAAAACATAAGGACAAAATATTTACTTATACTGACGCAGATTCCGTGTAAGAGAATATTGACCATCATCCTTCGTTTTATGAAAAAAATGGCTTTTTATATGACGAATAAAGTAAGTTAGCGATCTCTATTGAAATTCCTGAGATGGTGGATAATTATTTGTTTTTGGTTAATTATGATAAAAACCCTGACGTGGGCGTAGTTAATGAATTGTAGGGGACTGGTTTGAAACATGTGTTGATAAATAGATATTTTGATTACCCTAAAAGGGAAACATTCCTTAGATGATTTTTTGCTTTATTCATATATATGTGATATTTAGTACATGTGTTAACAATTATACTACATATCATATATTAACTCAAAAATTTGAAACTTTAAATGTTTATATCTATTAAACAAATTAAGTTTCATTAAAAATTCAAATGCCATTTATTATTGAATTAAAAACTCAAACATTTTATTAAATTAAAAATATGTGTTACCATTTAAAAAAACAAAGTTTACACACTTACCAGGCATAAGGGATGAACTTAAAAAGTATTACATAGTTAATAATTCAAGAATAATGTGTAACTAAAGATAATAATAAAAAAAAATTTTTAAATTATTATTATTCTATAAGTAATTCAGTGGGTTGTGATAAAAAAATCACTCTGTATATGTACCCAATAGAAAATATTAAGTTAACACCCCTATAAGTTTTAATATATGATTCTAAAAAGTAATTAACAGCTGATAAAAAATGAAATATAGATAATTGAAAAAATCAAAATTGATTTATGAATATGAAATAAAATTAATAATAATAATAATAATAATTATAATAAATTATAAATGTGATGTCAAAACAAAAATAATTCTATATTAAAGCAGAATAATTTTTTTTTTTTTGAGAGAATACTAAATATTATTTTTTTATATATAATAAGATTTATGAGTGTCAAAAGGATTGACAAATCATGAGCTTTTGACATTTAAAAGCCAGGAAACCCTTGTTTACTAACTTACAAGTAAAATTATCAAATACATAATGAACCAAAATTTTTATATTGTTTACACTCAACCTAACAACAGTCATAGGTCGAGTGGGACAAATGTAAATGAATAGGGTAATAATAAACTCATTTTTCTTCTTAAATATATAGTAGTTATGCATTTCCTTTTAAAATTATAAATAGTAATATGTTTTAAGGAATTTTAAACAAAATTTCTTTTTTCGAAAAGAAAGCAATAGCAATAAAGTATTCTAACAATACAGTGATCAAAAATCAAAGCGAAAATCTATGGGGTAAAGTTAATAAACTAGACAAAAATAAAGAAACACTTAGAGAAAAACCCAACCAACAAGTAGAAGTTAATGGTGAACAATATGTACTAGATGAAAGAGAATACAAGCAAGACCAACACATTACAGAAGAAGAGAACAAAACTAAAGATGAAATTTCAATCTATATAGATGAAGGTTTATCACTCATTTTTCATGTCGATAACTTGTCAAAAATGACAAAAATTAATAAAAAGAAAAAGAAAAGGAAAGGATAGGAAAGAAATCTTCCCGAGTAATGTGAAAAATTAAATAATTATTTACACTCCAAATTATTTGAATGTAACTCTTAATAATTATAGTTTAAAAAAATTAAAAAACACGCTTTTAAAGCACATCGAACTAAAAAGTTAAAAATAATTTTTAAAAAATCTAACCCTTTACTTGCCCACAGTTGGGGTTTCAAAATGACAACTTTTTGTCAAAAAATTAACATTTTTAACTTCCTTTTTGAAAGTATTCCGGAAATACTGACACTATTATATATACCTTAAATTAAATCTAATGTAATATACTGTCGTAACACAAAACAGAAAGTAAAAGCGTACGAAGAAGATGATGATCAGGAGGAGCCTTCTGACTAGGTATTCATCTGCGTGTTGTCGTACAGCAGTCACCTTGTTCAGCTGACATTCCAGGTTAGCTGTGGGTTGTCATAAGGTTGTTGTTATAGGAAGGGAATAAGGGTAACACCTATTTATGAGATGCAGACGAAGTGCAAGACACAAGTACTCTGAAATGTTGAGGAAGAGAGTAGATAGGTTAAAAAGAAAAAACAAAGACTTTACTTTAAGCAGTAAGCTGGACAGCGACAACTGAGTATTGAAACTGATGAATGACACAAGGCACTGTAGTCAACTGACCAAGATGGCCAGGTCTATTGGGTTTTTATAATAATTTGATCTATTGTCAATTTGGCAATAAATATTATTTGTTAATTCATCAGTCTCAGGAAGCGGATGTGCTGTCTGTATTTTATTTTAATAAATTCTCACAATAATGGTAACGTGACACTATCACAATACTTTATTATAGAAAAAAAAAAATTCGGACTTAATTTTGATTTCGTAGTGAAAATGTTATTTTTGTGTTAAAATTCTAGATATTATATTTAAAATTTTTAACTTTGTATTTCTATAACTTTTCGAAAAATGTATAGACCACTACAATTTTTTATGAGAAATACTATCTACATACTTTTTTCATTTGACATACTTTTTAAAAACGGATCATTTCCCAATTATACAAGGGGCGTTTAAAATTTAAAAATGCATATTAAAAAAAGAACATTTTCAACGTAATTTTTGAAAGTGTTCCGAAAATACTGACACTTATATAAATATTTAAAATTAAAGCTTTTATAAGATTCTTTATTATGAAAAGAAAAATTTTTCGGACTTCATATTGTCTTCACGGTGAAAACGGAAATCAAAAATAATAAAGAAATACTATTTTATGTAAAAAAATTCTTTTTATATTATTAATTTATAATGCTATAACTTTTTGATAATATATGGATAAATACAATTTTTTTATGATAAATATAATTTATATACCTCTTATATTCGACATACTTTTTTTCCTTTACATTTTCAGTAGTTAAGTTTGAAAAATTATAATTTCTAAAAATGTTGTAATTATATTAATATAATAAGGAATGAACCAAAAATTATTTGAAACTAAAAGTCTAAAAAAAATTTCCAAAATGAATTTTATTTTGTGTGCATATATGTGGATTGGGATAGAAGAATTGCCTTTAATAAAATCACTACATAATACATTATTTAGTTATATTGAGGCCGTATAAAATATTACCATGATTTATAACGTTGCTGATCATACTCAGTATAGTAAAATGAATAAAAAGTATATTCCTCTAGAGAAATAAACAGAAAACCAAATACTTATAATATTAGATAGTTTATTAATTAATTGAATAATTAAAACACGTTAACTTTATTATTAAAGATTATATTGCTCAATAAAATGATACAGTATCAATGGTATAATTATAAAATATTCTGGAAACAATATATAAAGAGTGACTTTTTTACCAAAATCCACTCAATTCCTAACATAATAAATGTAATTTAAAATTTTTTTTTTGGTTTATCTTTATTTACACATTATTTTTGAATTATTAACTATTTAAAACTTTCTAAGTTCATCCTTATACTTTGTAAGTTCAGTTTTTAATTTAATAGTAAATGGCATTTAAAATTTTAATATAACTTTATTAGGTTATAAGATTTTAATGTTCAAACTTTTGAGATAATATACAA